GTAGCAGTCCAAAATCAGCAGTCTGCACAGTTTCTTAACCTTAGCACCACATTAAAATTACCCAGGGTGCTTCTTAAATGTTTATTCCAACCCCAGAGACTCTATGCATCAGTTCCTAGGTGGCATCTAGACACAAATCTCTCTGGTTAAATTTATGGAGTCTCTCAGCATCACAAGAGTCCTGTTTTTAGGCTTATTCCAAGAAAATCAAGCCCTTCAAGATGTCTTCATCCACGCAGACCACATAAGCATTGTGGTCAGAATTCCTCCCTTCCCTTCCTTGAGCCTAGCACAAGGAAGCCTATTACAAGCAAAGTAGAATGGGAAAGGCAGCTATCAAACTAGCCACAGCTGACAATTTCCTTCAGATTTAACTTGTTTCACACTAACATGTAAACACTCTTTGAAGGGGAATAAACAGTGCAGTATTTTCCATTGTAATTATGAATTAAACAAGAAGACAGCAAGTGGAGAAACTGAGTCCCTGATGTGTTAGGCATTATATTTATTTTACTTTTAATCCTTCGGACAATTCTATATGTATCCCATTACTGAAAAAAACAAAAACAAAAAAATAAAAACTGAGGCTCAAGGAGCTCATTAATGGATTCCCCAAGGTCACAGGGCTTCTGAGAGGAAACTGGGGAGTTGCTGTCTTTTTCACTATACCACACTGCCCCCTAGGGCCTCAGGATCCTATGGCAGGTACTGGAAATTAAAAGAATTTGAAATACCACAGGCAAAAAAAAAAAAAAAAAAAGGCTTGAAATCTTCCCTGGTGGACTTAATTGGCTATGGTTGCTCTTTCCTCCCAACACACACATACAGCATTTTTGTGGGCACCACTGGCTTGGCATGGATTTTTTTGCTGCCTTTTGCTAATTGCCAGTTCATATGCTTTCAGCTAATTGCCAAGAAAAGCAAGCTCAGGCAAGGCAAGGGCATTCCCAAGGTTTTTAATCCACCACAGAGCTCTAAATTGCCTTGGAGCAGTGCTTCCTCAAGTGTGATTTACATATGAGTCACCTGTGGACCCCGTGAGGCTATGGATTTTAATTCAGAAGATCTGGGTGGGACTGGAGAGGATCACACAGGAACTAGCAAGGAGCTAATTATTCTAAATAAATGATTTCTTAAGTCATCTTCAGGATGTAAGAAGCCATAGGTGTGGCTTGGAAAATTATATTTCACTACCTATCTATATTATAAATCTTAATCCCAACGTTTTCAAGTTTCTGTGTTACATGCAATGAAGCTAGTAAGTCTGCTCATGAATTCCTTTCATACTAAATCAATATTTGTAGATTGATTGACTGCAAGATAGGACAGCTCCACATGAAAATAAAGCACATAAAGATATGGCTGGCTCTCTTATGAATAAAACAAATGAATATTAACTGGGTGACTAATTTTCTTTTAATTAAGGATAGCAAGCTACCCCTTCCCATTGTTGCATCCATTAGCACTGACTGGCACCACCAGCTGTGGCCATGATGATCCTGGGGCCAGCAAAGTGACTTAGAGGCTACTGATGAGACTCTTGTATCTAACCTCCATTGATGCACTCTGAACATAACATAATCATTAAGAATATCCAATTCAGGGTCAACAGACCAAGGTCAAGCCCCTGCTGACATTTTACTTTTCAAAGCTTTATTTCTTGGCCAGTAACTAGCCTAAAGCAAGACTTAGAAGTTCAACACAATCCAAAAATAGACCGAATGCCAACAGACCAACTTATTAACAAGAAAGAAATTCAGACATTCCACACAATAACTTCTCTCATTTGCAGTGAGATATTATACCATTGATTTTGTGATGAAACAACATTGCAATGACATAAAAATGTATCAAATGCTCCTGGAGCATAGTGTGCTTTATAAGGAGACAACTTTACCTAGTGCTCACTTGATGTACACACACACACACACACTCTGAAATAGAGCTTGGTACAAAGGTAACATCATCCTAAAGGCAGCCTTTGTTTTCTCAGGTATCAAAAGGGACTGACAATGTCCTCAATCAATGTTTTCACAAAATTATTCCTCTATTATTTCTATTATTTCACAAAAATTTCCCTCTAAAAGTCCCTGGCAGTTGCTAGCCACCATTTCTCTTCCATAGACAGTTCCCTTCATCTTCTCTTTTCACCTCCATTTCCTTATATCTCTTTCTTTTGTAGAGAAACTTACTTACCTCTTGGCTTTTCCAATCAGGTTCCACTCTCTTTCAATGATAGCAGAGAGAAAGAAACAAAGGATAATGTTACACCTGTACATGCATGCATGAACGCACACACACACACACCAAATATTTTCTATAGCTATTGTTACATGAATAAATTAAACCAATCAATCCCAGTAGAGCTATACTATTATTTCCCTACCACTGGCCCAATTAGGTGAGAGAATAATAAATTCTCTTAAGTGGATTGTTCCAGCCTCCTTTCAAATGAGAAAGAAACAAATTTAGTATAGAACCAATACCTAGATAACATCTGAGAAGGGATCCAGCAACCAGGACAGTTAGTTGCCAAAAGTAAAATATTATTCAAATCTGTCTAAAGCTCATATCACTCTACAATAGTTTTCATAAATGTACATAAAATGCACAGAAAACACCCTACCCCATAAAATGTATGCATTACACTTGAAACATATTAAGACTTCATCTAAATGCATTAATATTACTACCCCCAATTGATATTACTACTCTTTTTGTTATAAAAAGGAAACAAGCTGGGCATAGTGGCTGACCCCTATAATCCTAGCTATTTGAGAGGCAGAGATCAGAAGGAGCGTGGTTTTAGTCCAGCCTAAGTAAAAAGTTCTCAAGAATCACATTGCAACCAAAACAAAAAACAAAACTTGGGCATGCTGGCAAGTACCTAATATGCCAGCTGTGAGGGAGATATAAACAGTAGGATTGAGGGTGAAGTTGACCCAAGCATACATACAAGATCTCAGTAAAATTTACTAAAAACAAAATAAATAGTTGGGGTGTGGCCCAAGTGGCAGAAGGAGGAGGAGGAGGAGGAGGAGGAGGAGGAGGAAGGAGGGAAGAGGGAAGAGGAGGGAGGAAGAGGGAGGAGAGAGGAAGGAAGAGGGAGGAGGAGGAGGGAGGAGGAAGGAGGAGGGAGGAAGGAAGAGGGAGGAGGAGGGAGGAGGAGGGAGGAGGGAAGAGGGAGGAGGAGGAAAGGGGAGGAGGAGGAGAAGATGAAGAGGAGGAGAGGAAGAGGGGGCAGGAGCAGAGGAGGGGGAGGAGGAAGAGGAGGAAGAAGAAGAGGAGAAGGAATAATTGCTTTTTTTTTTTTTCAGAAGTCAACACTTAGTAGATATTCAATAAAGTTTCCAGTTAATTCTGGTAGCTATTTCAGTAACAGAGGCATGGAAAAAAGGAGGGCTAAATTTTTAGGTGCTGTGCTCTTTGACTTATAAAAGAAAGAAAACTCTGACCATGGTAAACATTTTATATGTTAGATGATCTTAGCTCTTGTAGTGTTCCAAGATCTTATGAGATGTCAAGTTCTAAAACAAATAATTGTCTATGTACAATGAAATTACATTCACCTGGCAGAAAAAGAGAGAAAATGACAAAAATAAAACAATGATAGAAAGTCTCATCACTGAAACACCAACAAAAACTTTATAAGATCAAATCACAGTGCCAAAGAGAAGACACTAGTAAGTGACATTAAAGAGAAAGCTGCAAAGAAAAAGATGAAAGAAAACGTCACCTAAGGAAAAATGAGAAAATGAAAACTTAATAAATTAGTGAGACTGCAAAGATAGGATAAGAGGAGACCTTTATTAGAAAGAAAATTTTATTGAAGCTTAATTTACGTATAAGTTTCCAAGTGAGTGTTTACTCAACAAAATCTATAGCAAGATGTCAAAGTTTAATAGTTCCATGGCAAAGTAGAACCAAAAGACAAGACAAAACATTACATATTTAACAAATACGTAGCATGCATTGCTTATAATATATGTAATTATATTTCACATATTACATTACATATTTATCAATAAAATCACATTTTCTAGTCTTCTTTACATTGTTTAATATTCAACCAGCAATTGCCCTTGATGTATACTGAGAAATTTATTCAATAGTCTGTTAATTAGGTTACACACAATAACTTCTATGAGCTACAGTGAATGCATTCCAAGTGAAGATGCTTGTTATAAAATCCTATTGCATGTTGATTACATTGCTAGGTCAGAGAGAAAGCTCAAAGGAATCAAGGTAATTTCCACATTTTATACATGTGTGAAATATGTCACACTTTCCCCTCCCCGGGAGTTTTCTGAGCAATGTGTTTCATTTCCTTTGCAGACTAAGGCATGTTAGAACTCTCCAGGCGATTTGCCCTGTACACCTTACCTGCCCTCCATACCGAGGGCTGGTGCTCTACCAACTGATAGAAATGACTATGCTTAAGAGTATCATCTAGTTTTATTTTAGAATTCGATTTTTTCCTTGTCAAATTCATATGCTCATTTTACTGATAATTACCTTCTTAGAGCTATGATTTTTAACATATTTCCTCATTATCCCATGGGGTCTGTAGAAAACATTCTCAAACTTTAAATATATATATATATATATATATATATATAAAATTATTAAGAGGGCTTAAGTCAACATATCAATGTATGAGTATAATGTTTTCTCAAAGCTTGAGCTGCACAGCGTTAAGAACGGTTTTTCTTCCCCCAATCAGAGACATACCACAGGCCAGCCCAATCATTCATATTTTCTGTAAAGCGAATTTACAAATCATACAAGAGCTCTACTTTTTAACTTAAAAAAAATTGTGGTTAGCAAAATGATGTTTTATTTGACTTGGGGGTTCCCCCCGAACGGGGTTTGGTTTGAGGAATGGCATTTGATGGACAGATATGAGGGAGAGGAGCCATGTGGATGAACAGTGGGTTGGAGGGAGGGAGGGTGAACATGGAGAAGGGTCTGAGCAGAGAGACTATCAAGGGATCCAGGCGTCACCACAGAGCCAGCTGTGGTACTAGGAAGACACATGGCAGCAAGAGCCATGTCTGTGCGGACACGAGGGTAGTGTGGGGCTGAGCTGAGACAGTAGTCATCACAGCCACCGAAAAGTTCATGCGAGGCCTGTGAATATGGTGCCGGAAAGCCGCAAGCCTCTTGGCTTTATTGATCCATTCAATGAAGTAGGCAACCCTGGTGAACACACTGGGGTAGATAGGATGCCGGCAGTCCAGGCCCCAGCTGGCTAGACCTACCAGAACCCAGACATTGGAGTGGAAGCAGACCAGGGGCCCCCCAGAATCAACTGGGCAGATGGACTTTCCTGTGGAGAAGTCCCCTGCACACAGCATCTCTTCATGCACGTAGTCATTGTCTTGGCCAGATCTTTGCCCAAATAGGGTATTACAGAACTTATTCTCCACCAGGGCCACCTTACCCTCCTGGAGTAAGAAGGGTGGCAACAGTTTCGTGTCTTCGGAGATCTTTCCCCAGCCGGTTATCCAGCAGGACGTCTGATGGAACAGGTGTAGGTCTGTGGATGGGAGGCAGACGGGAAGGACGTACGATGTGAAATTCACAGCCCACTGCAGCTGCACCATGGCAATGTCGCTGCCATAGGGATGAAACTTCTCGAACGCTCTGTGGGGGATAATCTGACTCACGGCTATCGTTTGCGTATGCTGGGTTGGCTGGTACAGTTGGATGTTCCCCAACAGAACCCGATAGTCGTCTGGGTTCCTGGATTTGTTGAGGAAACAGTGGGCTGCAGAAGCCAGCCAGCGGTCCTCCAGGAGGACAGCTCCGCACAGGTGACGCTCCAAATAGAGCAGGCTGGCCTGCCAGGGCCACTGGCCCGCCGCTGCATTCTGGCCACCAAACACCTTAACTATCCCTTTGGGCTTTCCACACACTCGGCTGACGTCCTGGCTGCTGTGGGTAACATGTTCCAGGTGTACAGCATGGTGTGGATCATGGGCCTCGGACTCCAATTCCTCCAGTGCTCCCGGGTTTTCCCATTCGGCCGGCAGAGGAGACGTTGAGGAACTTAGCTCGGTAGACTGCCTAGTGGAGGTGGCCTCTGGAGTCAGGGGCAGCAGCAAAAGCAGCAGTGGCCAGAACAGGTGACTGGTCCCACCTCCGGTCATCGGAGTTCTTGTGCTCATCCCAAACACCAGGATTTCCTGCCTTGACCCAGACCTGAACTTTGTCTACTTGAGTTGAGAGTAGATCTCAATCCATCTCAAACCCAGTCCCCTGAGTAAGACTTTGACTTCATAATGGATGTCATGACTCCCTGGAAAAGTTAAATCACCTACATTACAAGTTTCAAAATCATCCCTTTCCCAGTCACCTCCTCTTCCTACATGCACTAAAAATGTACTTTCTCTACCTCTTGGATGATGGTTGAAATTCCACTATTAGAGATTCTCCTCTTAACTTTAAATTGTCCTCTAAGTAAATGCAAATGGGTAATGCCATTAGCCTTTATCAGTTAGGTATATAGTCATGTACTCTCAGTTATCCATCCTTCTCCAAGACCTACTTCTGCAGGTGGCAGGAAGACTGGGGAAGACTATGAGAACCTATGTCTGGGGAAAAGCAGGGGTAGGAAAGGTGTACATACTTGAATCAAGTTGATGAATTCCCAAGTTCTGAAGGCTTCAACAGAAGAATCTTTGTATAACTGGAACCCAAACATTTCAAGTAGACAAGTCTAAGGCTGCTCTATTGGTGTTAAAGTTGGAGTCTGGATCTTTGCCTACTATAATTGTCTTCTCACACCAAGGGATAATCCAGAAAAATCTAGGGTTAGGAAAGATGGTTTGAAAAACATTCATGTATTGGACATTGTCATTATGGAAAAGATGTCAAATTTCTGCCCATTGCTTCTTAATTCTATATTCAGTGATGTCATATTGAGAACTTGAAATCAACCATGATAGTAGTATTTATATCATGAAAACCAGCAGATGCTATATATCAGGACTTCATTTCCTTTTCAGACAACCAATTTACCAGCACACTACTGTCACATAAGTCTCCATGATTTGTGATAGGAGACAGTCACAACACCTACCCACACGTTGTGAAGTACTGTCATAACCTTAATAGTCTTTCCCTCATAAATATAGTCCTCTAGAAGGAACTCAATAGATGAGTTCACTCAGAAATATAAGAAAGAAACACATGGGAATTACCATTGGTGAAGTATAGAAAGTATTCCACACAAAGTATTTGTCCATCATATTATAACAAGTCTAGACATAGTCCAGAAGGATCATAAGATTTATTCACACTCATGGCATAAATAAAAGCAATTAACAAGTGGAAAATATACAAAGCAGAAGATGTGAATAAATAGAAAGCATAAATATAATAGGATCAATAGATGTTTGGGAAAAAATAAGGTTCAGAAAAGAAGATGGAGGGGAGGCGACACAAGGAAAAGAGGAATGGAGGATAGAGGATATAAAGATAAATAAGACATCAACCAAAAGAGATAGCCCTCCATTGGAGATAACAGGCATAGTAAATAATAAACACAAAAGCATTTATTCATTCAACAAATGTATCAAGTACTGAACGTATTGGAAGGACTAGGCATAAAATATTTACCAAAACAAGATTCATGCTTTAATCACTATATAGTTTAATAGAGGAAAGACCCCCAGTAAATTGTCTTTCAATATTGACAAATACTATCATTAATTAACCATTAAGAGATGTAGACCATAGAGAAGATTCTACCCCAACCTTGGGTGTCCTCAGACGTAACATCTAAAACAAGACCTGAAGAACAAACAAGCTGCTTGAATAAACAAGTCAAAAAGCAGATAGAAAATGAATAAGAAGGGTCTGGTGGTAGGTGAAAAAAGACAATCATGAGTTCAAAGTTCAGGCTGGCTGATGATAGTGTCTAACAGAAAAAGGCAGAGAAATAAATCAAACCAGGTAATGCTGGCCTAACATAACATTCTTGGATCTGGACTCTGAGAGAAAAGAAGAGTCACCATTTTAAGAAGTTATGACTAGATAAAAATACCAAAGTTCAGGGAATTTGTTTGTTCATTTTATCCTCTGAATGGCTTTGGAATTGATCCTCATCTCTCTCTACCACCCTTATCCTCCCTCAACAGTATTAACACTGATGTCTCTAGCAGGTCTCTCCACCTCTGCCCTGTCCCATTTAGAAACTGTTCCACAAGAATGATAGTAAAGCCAACTGGAGAGTGCAACAGTGATCATGTCCAACATATTGGTGTGGTGGAGAGGAGAAATCAGTCCATTTGAGAGCTATTCAAGGGACGAGATTAGCAAGATTCATAGGTTGAAGAGGGCAAGAATTAAGGAGTCCCCAGGTTCCTGACATGGGCTGTTGGAAGGATGGTAGTGCTACTGAGTTTGAAAGGACATAAGTTGATTCTGGTGCAGGGTGATAGATAAGGATCTAGCTTAGGTTTTCTTCAAGTGATTAACCAATTTTGCCAGTACCATTTACTGAAGAGGCTGTCTTTCTTCCATTCTATTTTTTTTTTAGCTCCCTTATCAAAGATTAGGTGGCTATCGGTCTGTGGGTTCATTTCTGGGTTTTCAATTCCATTCCATTGGTTCTGAGGTTTCTTCTTGTGCCAGTACCAAGATGTTTTGATTATTATGGCTTTGTAGTAGAGTTTGAAATTTGGAATTGATATTCTTCCAGCACTATTCTTTCTGTTAAGGATTGTTTTTGCTATTCTGGTCTTATATATCACCTTGCACCAGAATCAACTCCAAATGGATTAAAGACCGTCAAAGCAGACATCCTGAAAACATTACAGGACAAAATAGGAGAAACCCTAGGTCTCCTTGGCACAGGCTGAAATTTTCTTAATAGAGACCCAGAAATACAACAAATCAAAGAAAGGTTGGACAAATGGGATTGCATGAAATTGCAGAGTTCTGCATGGCAAAGAACATAGCTAGCAAGATCAATAGAAAGCCCATGGATTGTGAGAAGATCTTCACTAGCCATACAACCAACAAGGGTCTCATATCTAAAATATACTTGGAACTCAAAAAATTAAATCGCCCCAACAACAAGTCCTCAAAGAAACAACTGACCAATTAATAAGTGCGCTAAAGAGAAACTTCTCTGAAGAGGAGAGAAAGATGGCCAATAGACACATGAAGAAATGCTCAACCTCTCTAGCCATAAAAGAAATGCAAATCAAAACAACATTGAGATACCACCTCACCCAGTTAGAATGGCTATAATCAAGAACTCTAATAACAACAGATGCTGGTGGGGATGTGGACAGAAGGGAACCTTACTGCATTGTTGGTGGGAGTCTAAACTTGTTCAAACGCTTTGGAAAGTAGTATGAAGGTTCCTCAAAAGACTCCACATAGAGCTCCCCTATGACCCAGCAATCCCACTTTTGGGCATTTACCCAAATGATCACAAACAAGACCATACTAAAGCTACCAGCACAACTATGCTTACTGCAGCAGCATTTATCATAGCTAAGATATGGAACCAACCCAGATGCCCCTCAGTAGATGAATGGATCAAGAAAATGTGGTATATATACACAATGGAATTCTATGCCTCCATCAGAAAGAATGGCATTGCCCCATTTGTTAGGAAATAGAAAGACTTGGAAAAAATTATATTAAGTGAAGTTAGCCAGTCCCAAAGAAACATAGGTCTCAAGGTTTCCCTTATTTGCAATAACTAGTATATGTCTGAGACAAGCAGAAAAGGTCAGAAAAGATGATGTTAAGTGAAATGAACCCCAAGATAAGGACACAAGTGGTCTTTTCTTTCTTCCTGTTGTTTCTGATGTATTTATAAGGTACCATGTAATTTTTTTGATGCTTTGTTTGTCACTCCCTCATGGTATAACCCCTGTTTTCACTGTATTTGATGTTGGTATAATTTGAGGAGGGGAAGAGAAAAAATAAATTGTTTAAATAGGGATACAGGTTGACCCATTGCAACAATGAGATGTACAAGATGCTATGTCCAAAAATGAACTTTACTATTTAGGTGGTGGGGGGCGGTTGGAGGGGAGAGTATAGTTGTGGAGATGGGAGGGAAAGGATGGTAGGGGAAAAACAAAGGAGGCAACAATTCTTGATAAGAAATGTACTCATTACCTTGCTCATGTTATTGGAACCCCTCTGAACAGTATTTTCACAATAAAAAACTTATTGGCGCTGTGGCTCAAGTGGTAGAGCGCTAGCCTTGAGCTGAAGAGCTGAGGGACAGCACTCAGGCCCAGAGTTCAAGCCTCATGACCGACAAAAAAAAAGAAAAAAGAAAGGACATGAAACAGAAACAGGTCTGGTAGGAGTGGATCAGAAGTTTAACTCTGAGCTGTAGTAAATGTGGTGCTCATGTCTTGTTTAGCCTTCCCTTCCAATGAATGGAGATGAGTTGTGTGACTTCTAAGGACGATGAAACTTCTGCCCTCTTTTATCAACCTCCAGACCTCTCCCTCTGGGACAGCCAGCTGCCATACTGGGAAGTTACTGCTTATGGTAGGAATCGAATACCTTTTCTCAACAGCCAGGCAGGTTCTCCATCTTGAGAGCCAATCCTCCTGGCCTGCTCCAGCACTTCCAAATGTCTGACATGGCCAAATCTTAACTGCAACCACAAGAGAAAACCAGAGAAGAGCTGCTCAACTACACTGCTTCTAAACCCCCAATCCACAAAAACTAAGAGGTAGTAAAAATGACTAGTTTAAGCCACTATATTTTGAAGCCTATGTATTGCACATCAACAGATAAAGTACACAGAAAATTACCTACCACGCTATGGATGGCACATATACTGGAGAGCTAAAAAAGGCCTCCCCTGTGGTGCCCACCTCACAAAAGCTAAAGCCGCAGCTCTCACACCTGAGCATGGAGCTGACTCATCTGAAAGCCTCATTAAAGTACAGACTGGATTCCACCCAAGTTTTTTTACTGTGGGTCAGAGCTAGAACTCAGCCATTGGCCATTCTGGAAGGCATTCTGGGAACATGGGTGCTGATGAGTGAAGACGTGGCCATGAGATGGCAGTAACACCTAGCAAGGTTTACTTGGCTACATTTTGATGTCTGCATGAGACCATCTATGGGCTACTGTCTAGAAGGGGAAGAGAACAAGGGAAGGG